TTTTATGATGCTGGTAAGATTCTTTACCTGAATGGCAGGAAGGTGGGGCACAATCTAGTTGCTGCTTTACTAGATTATCTTTCAAACTATTCGATGTGCCTTTGTTATATAATTCCTTGCTCACTTCTAAACTTCTAGCAGTGTCTGACACTTGACTATCATTATTAGGATGATAATGTGATAATAAACTCCTCTTCAATTCATTGTCAAGATTTTTATTCTTATCTTCATATTCTTCTCTGCCATTATAATTGTCAGAATCAGCATTAATATCACTGTGACTACCATTTATATGTGTATTATCAAAAGAACCAAGAAATGTGGATGGCCTTATGTTACAGCCTTGGGGGGAACAGATAGTAATTTGCTTGCCAAATGAGCACTGTTGCTTCTGTGCACCAGTATCTTCATCTTCTTGAATACTTAAATTCTTTAACATTTGTTCAGGTTCCGTTTCTTCAAGATTTCTACAATTTCTTTCGGCTAAACTTGATGTAGACATGTTAATAACAGAATATATAATTCTATCTTACAAAACGAAACTGTTCTGCAACAGTAAGGAACTGAAAGTGTTAAGTCTTTAATATTGGGCAACAATGGACAATTCAACTTAAAAGCTTAATTCATGATTGAAAATGCATCATACACATTAGACGCAGAAAAATATTTCATGAACAAGATACTTTTTAATACTGCATTTAAAATTAATATGGACTGATGAATGGTATATGTAAATAAACAATTAAAACCAGCATGTTTATAATTCTGAACTAATTATTGCTTCCATTTCTCTTTTTACAATGCTACCAAACAACCAAATTTCCTTCAATGGGGAATTAAATCCCTACCACATCAAATCCACAGAGCACATAATCAATGGTGACATGAGTTAAATAAAGCTTAGGAGTAGAAACACTTCACATAACAAACATATTTTTAAAAAGGTAATACTGGCCACATTCTTCACTTTATGACTGATTTTTCTGAGTTATAAACAATAAGCAGGTACTAACCTGCTTAGGATTTATAGAATGTAAATAAATTCAATTCAATAAGGCATATTCAAAATCCTTACAGGTTGATGTGATCTTTCAAACTTTCAGTTTACAGAAAGATTTAACACACATTACTGACACATGCACCTACTCATATTAACCTGTCTTGTGTTCATCTGAGTAGTTCATACATGCATTACAAAAGCATAAAGACAACTTTGCTCTTAATCAGACATAGGTTGACATCTCTCCCCCACACATTACCTGTAAAATAAATTAGGAGAAAACACTGTTGGGACTGGGAAGGTGGAAATTTTACCATTTGAAAGTATTCCTGACAAAAATATTCAACAAGTTCAAACTAACCATAAGAAGTTATTTGAAATAAACGTGAAGAAGGAAGGGAAATTTCATATCTGATTACAGATGCTTGATAGATTAGGTTCAAATCATGTGTCACAGGTGTTCAAATATATTAAATACACCAAAACCTGAACTTCTACAAACATAACCTAAATTTTGGTGGAGGTAACTTCTTTCACACAAGATGTAATGACTATGATCACACGAATCGCTGTCACAGATTAGTGTGCAGTTAATGAGTTGTACCATGTTAAGATGCATTAATGCATCCTTCCCCTTACATCTGACTAAAGTTGTAATATATAAAAACAAAAAAAAAACCCCTGTAACATTCAAAGAATGCATGTCAGCACACTAGTGCTACAATTTGTCATTTGTATTAGTATTTAATATTCATGTAGTTTAATACCCCTAAGCCAACAGTGCAAAATCTTTAGATTTATGAATGAAGAGCAGATTAATCTCAGGGAATGCTTACTATCATTCAGCTCAGAATCCTTTATCTTCCTATCTTCTAAACAACAATTCCAAGATAGAAAAACTACAATGTTATCTGCTTTTTATGAGTGTGAAACTTGGCTCCTCACAATTAAAAGAAGAAAAAAATATCAAAATTATACGAGAAAAGGGCGCTGAGAATATCTGGACCTAAAAGAGAGGAAGTAACAGGAGGCTGGAGAGAACTGCATGGTAAGGAACTTCACTTACTGTGTTTAGGGTGAACAAATAAAGGATGATGATAGGTAAGGATATATCAGGTACAGGACAAGGATCACATATAAAATGTTAATGAAACATCCAACGTGAAAAGCCACAAGGGAAACCTAGGTGTATACAGTTCTACAACAAATCTTGGATGTACAATGAGGTGCAACAGGACACTAAAATACAACAGTACAGTGAGAATGTGATCTGAATTCATCTGGCTCTGAATACACTCCAGCATCACTAATGTAGCTTCTGCTTCTATAAAAGGCTGGGAAGTTCTAGAATAGGTGAGTAACTCTCACCTTCTCAAGGACTCAGCACCATGAAATCAGTATTTGTAAGTAGTACAACAGGGAAGTATTTGTGCAATCTATGAAGATTACTGTCTTCTGAGAGGTGAAGCCTACATTGCTCGTCACCGGAATGCAGGGCAAAATCGTGACATAAAGATAGGTAACAGATTTTCTGAAAATTTGATACAGTTCAAATATTTGGGAACAATAGTAACAGATCAAAAACTTGTTTCAATAGGAAATTAAAAGGAGAATAAATCTGGGTAACACTTGCTACCATTCAGTTCAGCACCTTTCGTCTTCTTGTTTGCTGTCTAAAAACTATTATTTTGCCTGTGGCTCTGTCTGGGTGTGAAGCTTGGTCTCTGACCTTAAGGGAGGAAATGGCCGTGCCATAGCTCAAGCGGTTAGTCGCTGGCTTCCCACCACAGCAGCCCAGGTCTGGTCAAGTGGAATTTGTGGTGGACAAAGTGGTGCTGGGGCGGGTTTTCCCCTAGTACTTCAGTTTCCCCTGACAATCTTCATTCCACCAAATTCTCCATCATCATAATCACCCAGCGCAGGTACAATAGGCTAATCAATGGCGGCCATGCTGAGTGGACCCAGCTGGACTCCACCCCCCACTAAGCGAATTAAAAAAAAGAAACTGAAGAACAAAGACTGAGGGTGTTTGAGAACAGGGTGCTGAGGAGAATATTTTGACCGAGGAGAGATGAAGTGACATGAGGTTGGAGAAAACTGCATAATGAGGAGCTTCATAACTTGTGCTCTCCTCCAAGTATTATTAGAATGATCAAGTAAAGGATGACATAGACAGGGCATGTAGCATGAATGGGGGAGAAGAGGAATGCATATAGGATATTGGTGGGAAAGCCAGAAGGAAAGAGACCAATAGAAACACAGGGATGCAGATGGGTGAACAATAGTCTTGCAAGTGGTTACCAACATTTCTGAGGTACTTCCTGCCTCTGTTTTCAGGACAGAAGACAGAGGAGTAGGTTACTCTTAAATGCTGGTTAAACATTTATGAGACTACAAGATGTCATATCCCTGAGGACCACAATCCAAATTTTTACCGTCACAAAAACCTTTCTTAGCATGCAGGAACTTTCATACACAATATGTAGGTATAATTAGGTTCAATCTTCATACAAAATTATGTGTTATATTTTACTCTCCCCTTCGCTAAAAAATGTGACATAAATTTTCAAGCTCCATAATCACACAAAATCTGTGGGCTCAGTATTAGTGATTTGTTTCATTCTGGTCCATCACACTAACAGTTACAAAGGCAAAAATAATACCGTCTAATGTGACTATTTAAGTTTTATCACTTGAGGATTTATCTCCCTTACATGTTTCGATCCTTACGGATCATCCTCAGAGGGTATCAATACTTTCGGGAACTACTATTACAATAGACGTTAATTGTATGGATACACATATGATGTGTAAACAACACAGCAGGCCACGCATAAACACGGAAATACTAAGAATCTCCTTTCGCAAGATAAACAGGTGGCACAGGACCAGCCACCTCCACGAATAACAAGAGGAGATTTGACGCGAACCTGTATGGTTCATAAATTTTAAGCTTCATCTTGAAAGTTTTTAAAACAAACTTTTTAAAAAGTTTTAACACCAAGAAGGCTGCCGTGAATGTGGAAGGTTGAACATTGCGTATATTGTGCATTTTAGACATCATATGTGTATCCATACAATTAACGTCTATTGTAATAGTAGTTCCCGAAAGTATTGATACCCTCTGAGGATGATCCGTAAGGATCGAAACATGTAAGGGAGATAAATCCTCAAGTGATAAAACTTAAATAGTCACATAAGACGATATTATTTTTGCCTTTGTGGTACTAGTGACACTACATCTGATCACAGTGACCACAAAGTCTAAGGCATGAAATGTCTTTGCCCACTCAAATATTAGGTTTGTGGGTTCGATCCCACGCAAACCATGGATGCTTGTTTGTATTTATTCTGTTCGCGTTGTCCTGTGTATGTTACAGCCTTGTGGTGGGCTGATTAGCATCCAAGGAGTCCCACCAAGTGTATAAAATTAAGAAACTGAAAGCAGTGAAGGCCCAAACTGGGCTGTAGCCATTAGTAGTGGCGGTGGTAGTGTCACTACAAACCCAAAATCTGAAATGATTCAATTTTAAGCTTTTCAATGACACATAATTAGAGAGCATTAATGACTCAAATGGCATGTATCAAGCTTAAAAAATTATGTCTATTTGTTCAAAAGCTAGAAAAATAACACAAATATATGATGAACTGAACTCTCCTTCCCTCTATAACATGGAAGGATAAGACATGACAGTTTTATCATAACATTCTGTCCCATAAGGTACTGTCCATATTACCTAAAGCAAAAGCATCATGGTAATGGACATACAGCAGAAGTTGTAAAGTTACTAAAGTGAGTACTGTCAAACTGGGTCATGCGTACTGATTCTACAAAACTTTCATAAACTGAATTTTGTAATAAATAAATCATTGTGTACTTATATTTTAACCTCAGACAGAGTAACATTCTTTTTATCTATATAGGGCATAACAGTTTATGATATAAAACACAAAAAAAATCTGCACCAACATACTTATTTTCAACCCTGCATCTCCTTACCTGTTATGGGATAAGAATCATCAGCTTTGTTGGTCGCATTCTGCTCTGACCTTTTCTCACTTGGTGGAGTATGAGCCTGTGCAAATAACACATAGAACAGTCTTCTATAAGAACAAGGTTGAATGATTAAATTCCATCTCCTTCTCCCTCACACCTTTTTATATGAATAGCTACTGAGGATTCAATTACATACGACAGTAAATCACTGTCTATGAATCACAAGGAATATACGAGGTGCTACCAAAACTGCCTCACACTCCATTAAAATAAGTTACAGGTTTCACTTCTACATATTCTAACACACTCCCACCTATGTGGGGTCCTTGCAGATTCCTAGTAATACAGTAAGTCCTATTTCAGTAACTGCTGTTTAACAACTTCAGTAAATTTTTTAAGTATTGCTAATTTCCAAAATATTAAATTCTTATTCTGAACTAAAATTTTATTTTTGGAAACAAAAAGTCTGGGGGACAATGGAGTGAAGGGGATGGATGACAACTTCCATATTCTTCCTGGCCAAAAGCCACCACATAAACAAGGAAGTGAGAGATGGAAACTATTTATGAGGAAGCAAACTTCATCATACCATTTCTGAGTACTTCTGGCCGGACATCCTCCTACTGACAATGCAGAAAGCTTTTGTAAAACTATTATCTTTCAATCTATTTTATCTATGGTTTATTTAAGAACAGTGTTGGTAAGCTCAGACTATACAGCACTGCATGATACGATCAGTGAATGAATTGGAAAGGATGTTGAAGGAGGCACTCATGGCCAGATTTGAGGTACAAACCTTGCATCTTCCTACAGGGGTTGACAAAAACCACCACTCAGGGTAGTTTGTTTCCAAGATGAGATTGGAACAAGACACTTCCCAAACACAAGTCAGAAGCATCACTGGATTTTAGAAACATATAAAACAACGAGTCTCTACAGTGAACACTGACACCACTACACAGGCTACAGAGGTACAAGAAGGGGATGCATGTTCTATCCACCTAGTTTTAACTGTATGTGTCATCAATCAATAGGGAATAGTTTCAGGTCTGCCACTGCCATTCCATGGTCAAACAGGAAATATCATCAAACAAAACAGGAAATACACATTCCCTGAGGCCACCATGGTACTTAATATTTTACAAAAGTTACACACGCTTCATAGTTCAACATACAAAGGTTGGATAAAAAGTAGTGGCAACACCTCTATAGTTCTGAAATGACTTTATTACCTGAGGTAAACACACTTACATTCCTTCAATATAATCGCCCCCCATGCATACTACCTTCTGCCAAATTTGTGGAAGGTGTCAAACACCATCACCGCGTCCACTTCTGTTGATGTCTAGCAGTGACCACTCTACAGCATGAATAATCTCCTCTCTTCTGTTGTAACGTGTCCCTCACAGTGGTTCTTTCATTTTGGCAAAGAGATCAAACTCGCACAGACTCATATCAGGTGAGTATGGCGGATGTTGCAGTATCTCCCATCGCAAGCGGCGAATGAGATCCTTGACAGTGTCAGCAGTATGAGGCCTTGCATTGTCATGAAGGATGATGGGGTTCACTGCCAACAAGTGTCATCACTTTCTCCTAAGCGCTGGACGAAGATAATTACGCAGGAAACTGCAGTAGTAGGCAGCATTTACTGTTTGTCGTTGAGGTACAGTGTGGTGCAGTATCACTCATCAATGTCATATGCCACAACGAACATCGCCTTCACATTACTCTGTATAGGGCACACTTTCTTTGGACGAGGAGAGCCAGGATGCTTCCATTCATTTGATTGTCACTTCAAGTGTGGTTCGTATGAGCGAGCACAAGTTTCGTCCAGAGTGATGATCCTTCCAAAGAGGTCGTCACCTTCCCTCTGGCACCGGTCCAACAAGTCCTGTGCAATTGCATAACATTGCTACAGTTGCACCTCGGACATTGTATGGGGTACCCATCACACTGCAATTTTGCGGTATCCAAGAATATCATGCAGAATGTGAAGCAGTTTTGTGACATATGCCTACCTCAGCAGCTAACTCCCGCGCAGCCCATCGATGATCGACATCCAGCAAAGAAGAAGCTGAATTGTGTGGTTGTCAACATGGGGTCATCCTGAACAATGGCTGTCCTGAATGGCATCCCTCCCTTCACAGAACAATTTCACTCATCGTGCCACTGTGCAATAAGGCAAAGCAGCATCACCACATGCTTCTCCCAGTCCATGATAACAGTTTTGTGCACGATGACCTCGTGCAACTTCAATTTGTATCCAGGAGCGTTGTTCTTGTTTCGTAAACATGTTGTTAGGGTGCTTGAACTGGGCTTCTGCACTTCAACATGATGCACAATGCAACTCAATGAAACACAACCAGAGCCACACACTGCACTACTTCAACTGAACTTCTGCTATCAGCTACAGACAGCGATAGTGCCACATGACGCACATCTTTCATGTTACAGCAGTGTTGCCACTATTTTTTATATAACCCTTGTACAAATTCAGAATCCTATATTAAATGACTTAAGTGTTGCATATATGGTACGTAGGTCGTACCAAAAGTCATGAGCAACATTTTTTTTGCATGCAACCTGGGAACAGCAGAAGAAAGAGAGTATGGTGGTAGGTGGAACCAGCTATTGTGTTAACCTTGAGTGTCTTGTGACGTCAATAGCTTGCATCATGTCACCAGTATCATTCCTAACAAAATGGCCGACGATGATATGTCGTTTTGCCAGCTTGCTGTCATCGAATTTCTTGTGAAAGAGGAAATCCCTGCTGCAGGAATTCACCAGAGACTTCAGGGTGCTTATGGAAGTGTGTGCATGGGTGCGAGCAGTGTTCGAAAATGGGCAAAACATTTTAAAGATGGGAACACCAGCATCGAAGATGAGCCTCGGAGCAGTCGTCCTCAAACAGCCTCAACTGAACACAACAAGGAAAGAGTGGATGAGATCATTGAAGATGACAGGCGTGACTGTGGACACAATAGCCCGAAAACTTGGAACAGGGCACAGTGTAGTACAGGAGATGACCGAAAGCTTGGGCTATAGGAAAGTTTGTGCTTGTTGGGTCCCACAGTTATTGACCGAAGACCACAAAAGTCAGCGAAAAGCCATCACCTCAGAACTGCTGCAGAGATATCGACATGAAGGCGATGATATTTTGCTCTGTATTGTGACAAGTGACGAAAGTTGGTTTCACCATTTTGAGTCTGAAACGAAACAGCAGAGTATGGAATGGCACCATTTGCATTCTCCATCAGAATAGAAGGCAAAGACAGTGCCATTAGCTGCGAAGGTGATGGACACAGTCTTCTGGGATGTAGAGGGGTTTATTCTGGCCGAATTCCTGGAACCTGGGCAAATCATCAATGCTGCTCATTATGTCCAGACACTGCACAAGCTCAGTCATGCATTGTGCAATAAACGACCGGGATGAAACATCATCATCCTGCATGACAGCACTTGCACCCACGCCGCTCGCCTCACATTGGAAGCAATTGCAAAGATGGCGTGGGAAGTTCTTCCACACCCCTCCTATAGCCCTGATCTGGCACCCTCCGACTACCATCTTTCTGGATTTGTGAAGGATCAGCTGTGTGGATGTTTTGAGACAAGGGAGGCAATTGAGAAAGCAGTGCATCAGTGTCTTCGGATGGCTGGAACGGAATTTTACAGAAGGGGAATTTTCAAACTCCCAGAACACTGGAAGAAATGTGTACAAAGAAGTGGCGATTATATGGAAAAATAAAGAAAGGTCTGTAGATTGAGGTGGTGTATTTGGTTTGTCAATAATAAAGCATGTTACTTTACAAAAAATTGTTGCTCATGACTTTCAGTATGACTCTCGTATACTGGCGCAAGTGACAACAGAAATAAAACAGAAACATACTGGGAAGATGGGATGGATTTGGCTTCCTACAGTTTCAGATTGATGAGAAGTTTATGAAAATGTCTCTCAACCAAGACTTCTGGGATACCTTAACCCCTCTTCTCTTACAAAGCAAAACTGGAAAGGTGCAACTGTACTGCAGTTTTGACACGTGTTACTTGTACTCTTCCATTCTCACCTTTTTCTATCCCTATTGCTCCCACTTGGAGCATAGGGTATCCGTGAAATGCTTAATTTCAATTCAGTTTCTTAATCTATGACAGTCGGTAGGACTCCTTGGATGGAGCGATCAGGCCATCGCAAGGCCGCTACCTAACACAAACCCTGAATAAACACCGACATCCATGCCTTCAGTGGGATTTGAACCCACAATCCGAGTGTTCGAGTGGAAGAAGCCATTTCATGCCTTAGGATCATGCAGCCACTGTGATCGGCTCTCATTTCTCCTAGCTGTTCCAAACAGCTTTCATGAAGAAATCAACAATATTAAGCACACGCTGTGAGAGGCTGTGGATTATTTAAAAACGCTTTCAGCACTGAAATTATATAGCACCAAACATCAGGAAGATGAATTGGAATGGAGTGGTCATCGCCTCAGCATCTGCCTGGAGGGTATGAAGTTAAGTACAAGCTCAGAAATTTGTTACCCCTGTAACTTGCATTACTATTAGCATACTTACTGTTGCATATTATTCTGCTCTAATTACATGCATTTTAGGGTTACTATGGTTACTGCATTTCAGTGGCAATGCTAACGTCATATCTCACAAGTTTGTGGCTATCATGTAGTTATCATCAATTACAGCAAACTGAAAAGGACAAGAAGAAAGCAGTCTTCTGGGATGTGGCACCGTGTAGATGTGGTGCTAACTGACGTTTCAGAGGAACGTATTGCCTCCATCTTCAGGGTAGAAGGAGAAATAAGAAAGTCCGCAAGCGAAGAGACAGTGAGAACCGGTGCAAGCAGACTGGAGTGATGTTGGAAATAAACTCAGCTATGTTTGAGCAGGGAATGGAAGGGGGAGGGACAAGTCTACATGGGAAATCAGTGGAGAAGAAGAGGGGATGGGTCTGGGACAGAAACAGGGTTTTGTATAGGATACTGTGTCGGGGACAGAAAGACAAGGTTAATGGGAGGGCATTAACCCTTAAGCTAGGGCATTGCTATGTGAGTCGGTCATGGCCTGTGTAGC